GGGCTGTGCCACGGAGCTATATCCCTGGCACAGTTTAGTGTTTTTTGTTTTGTTGAGACAGGCTCTGGCTCTGCAGTTCAGGCTGGGCTTGAACTCATTTTGTGGCCCAGGCTGACCTCGAACTCACAGCGATCATTCTGCCTCAGCCGCCCCCCCCCCCCGAGTGCTGGGATTACAGGTGTGCGCCACCACACCTCGCAATAAATTTCTAAGGCACACGTGGGCTTCAGGCCACATCCCCAGGCCTGTGGAGCTTCTTCATGCTGTTCCTCTCCCTTCCAGGAATCTGGGGCCCAGATGGAGAACAACTCTCTCAGCTATGAGTTCGAGTACGGGGATTATGTGGACCTTCCAGATGTCCCTGTGGACTGCTCAGGTGGCACATGCCTGGCCACTGACACCTTCCATGTGGCCCCACTGCTGATCTATGCTGCCATCTTCCTGGTGGGGGTGCCGGGCAACCTCATGGTGGCCTGGGTATCAGGGAAGTGGGCCAGCAGCAGGGTCAGGGCCACCTGGTTCGTGCACCTGGCAGTGGCCGACCTACTGTGCTGTCTGTCAGGGATGCTCCTGGCGGTGCCGCTGGCGCACCGTGGCCACTGGCCATTCGGGGCGCTGGGCTGTCGCCTGCTGCCTGCGGTTGTGCTGCTGTCCATGTTCGCCCGGGTGGTGCTGTTGGCGGCCCTCAGCGCAGACCTCTGTCTGCTGGCGCTTGGCTCTGCCGGCTGGGCTGGGGGGCCTCGGGCTTGCAGGGTGCGGGTGGCCCAGGGCGCGGCCTGGGCAGTGGCCCTGCTGCTCACGGTGCCCTCGGCCCTGAACCGTCGCCTGCACCAGGAGCACTTCCCGGCCCGGCTTGAGTGCGTTGTGGACTACGGCGGCTCGACCATCTTGGAGGGCACGGTGACTGCCGTGCGGTTCATCTGTGGCTTCCTGGGGCCGCTGGCACTCGTGGTCGGCTGCCATGGTGTCCTGCTGTGCCGAGCAGCCCCACGTCACTGGCCACTGGGCACAGCTGTTGCGGTGGCCTTCTTCGTGTGCTGGGCCCCCTACCACCTGCTGGGGCTGGTGCTGGCCGCGGCTGCCCCACACTCGGTGCTCCTGGCCCGAGCCCTGCATGCTGAGCCCTGGGTCCTGGGCCTGGCCTTCGCTCACAGCTGCCTCAACCCCTTCCTCTTCCTGTATTTCGGGCGGGCTCGACTGCGCCAGTCTCTGCCTGCTGCATGTCACTGGGCCCTGCTGGAGTCCCAGGACCAGGAGGACAGCGTGATCAGCAAGATGTCCACCAGCCAGGAAATGGTGCTAGAGATGGAGGTGTAGACAAGGAGGATACTGGCTGGTAATCTAGCCCATCTCGCACAGCTGGCTTCGGGGGGAGCTGCATCCAGGGGTGCATGGAGGTCTTCATTTCCTTCATTCGTTCATTTATTCAATCAACAAACAATTATCAAGTGCTTGCTGTGTGCAAGGCCCCGACAGAGGCACTGTGGCCTGGCAGACAGCAGAACCCACACAGTGCTGACATCCTGCTGGAGGAAAGTGGGCAGGAAGCAAAGTAACGTGGGCAGAATGGGGACCGAGTCCAGAGTGATACATGCAATGATATCAGTAAGTCTGCCCTGCAGTGAGCCTCAAATGAAGCAAAAGTTGAGCCAAAACCCAAAGAAGAGAGAGAGGAGTCACGCTCACACCAGGGGCAGAGCTGTTCCAAGCAGCAGGAATAGCATATGCGAAGGTCCCGGGGCAGGCTGGGCGTAGCCCTGGCGTAGAGCTCTTGTCTTGCATGTCCCCTGAAACATGGACACAAACTTATGCTCGAGCATTGTATGTTGTTTATCTGAAACTTAAATTTACTGAGCATTCTGTGTGGTTTTTTTACCCCCCTAAAATAGGCAACTCAATTTTTTTTTTTTTGCTGTACCAGGGATTGAACTCAGGACGTTGAGCTTGCCAGGCAGGCACTTATGCCCCTGAGCTATATATCTTTGGCCCTAAGTAACTTAATTTTGAACAAAGTATATTGATCGACGTGCCTTAAATTTTTAATAAGGCCCTGTGCTTGCTGGTGTAGACCACACTGTGGAGGGATGGGAGAAGCCCAAAGAGGAGGCTGCTGCAAAAGTCAGAGCAGAAGGCAAGTGCGACTTGAATCAAGGTGACAAAGCCAAGGGGACAGGAGGCTGCTGGGAAGGAAAGGCACGTCCAAGACCTTGGGCTTGGCATTCAAGGCTGTCCTGCCCCAGTCCATGCATTCATCTCTGGCTGGCAGATCCTCATCGGACAGAGCACTGGTCCTCACAATGTCTACACCATAGTCTCCTCTCCCTGTGACAATGGGGCCTTACCTGGCCAAGGGCTTTGCAGATGTGGCTAAGTTAGGGACCTGGAGGTGGAGTGTGGTCCTGGATCCTTTGGGTGGGCCCTATGTCAGCACAGTGGTTCTTGAAAGAGAGGGTCAGGAGGTCAGGGTTGAGGGGCACAGGTGACCTCCAGCGAGGAGGCCAGAAGGTGGATTCTCTCTGGAGCATCCTGTAACTGCCTGGACTTCAGGTCTGAGATCGGCACACTTTAGGAGAACATGTATTTTTTTGTTCTATTTTGTTTTTGATTTTCTTGAGACCAAGTCCAACTATGTAGTTCAGGGTGGTTTGGAAATCACTTCTGTGGCCCAGGTTGGCCTTGAACTCACAGCGATCCTCCTGCCTCAGCCTCCCAAGTGCTGGGCTTATAGTGTGTGCCACCACGCCTGGCTCTAGTAGTTACCTTTATGTTACTATCATGACATATTTGGCACAGGCTGCCAATGAAAAAGGAGGTTTGTTTAGCTCATGGTGTATGAAGTTGGAAGTTCAGTCAGCATAAGGCAGGCTTCATGAAGATTCCTTTGGCCATAAAAGAGAGCCCCGCACACCACCTACAGGAGTAGCTCCTTATATCCCAGACCAGAGAGCTGAGTGGGGCCAGGCTTGCTGCTTTTATCACAAGCAGCCAATGAGAACGAAGGGCCCGCCCCCATGACCTAAAGACCTCTCGCTTGGCCCCACCTCTTAAAGGTCCCACAGCACCTTCCACTAGCTTAACCCCAGGGCTAAGCTCCAGTTACATGAACCTTGAACATCAAGGCACAATAAAATCAAGCTCAAGCCATTAGCGAAGCTAATTTCTGTCTCTCCTCCTCCCTTCCTATGAATTAGAACCAAATTTTCATTATTTGTTGGACCTCTGGGAATGTGTTTGGGTCTCACAAGTCA